TGGTGGTCTTAAGCTTTTGTGAACCACACTGGTACGTAGATAATAAAGTGGAGGGATACAGATGTCAACATAAATACGCAGTGAATGTAAAAACCTGTATTTAATTGGCAGGAGCAATTTTACTTTATAGAAGAAATAATGCCTTTTCTCTTGTGTATCTGCAAGTAGGAGTATAAACTTTATCTGTAAAGCCAGATATACTCTGAGGCTATCAAGTAAACAACTGAAGGTCAGGCTAACACGGCAGATACTAAAAGTGGCAAGTTTAATCTTGCACACGAGGCAATTGTCACTTAACATTAGACTAAACCAAAAGAAAGCCCAACGCTGTTAAAAATAGCTGCAGCTGATATAAAAAGGTCTACGTTGCAGACACCTTATGATGGGGTGTCAAACTCGTGGTGTCACGTTGTCATCACATGACGTATCACGACTTTCCCCCCCTTTGCTAAAATGGGGGTTAGCATGTCCAACATGTGACACATCTGGCCGCAGGTTTGACACCCCTGCCTTATGATACCATAGATCTGAAACCCTGAAGGTTTCCAGGCTGTTACCCCTTTGTAAATGATAATCAGAGAATTGAAATAATGGTGAACTCTCTTTTTTTTTGCCTGTTATAGAAGAGCCAACAAAATTCATTGGATGGATTTGAATGTGATACTCAAAAGAGAATCCACTCTTTGAGATCAAGTGATCTAAATAGACCTTGTTTGGCTAGTTCAGACAATGTTTGAAGTAGGGCCATGGCATCTCCATTCTGCTCTGGGCCTTAATGTGCAAATGCAAAGCCTCAGGTGTTCTTCGCTAAATTTCAGTCCAGTCTTTTCACCATATAGGGCCCTTCTAGTCCATAGCCAATCTTCCTGTAGTAATCTCTGGTACCCACACCTGCAAGGAAAAAAAAAGACGTAGTTCAAAAAACAACTTGCGGAGAAGAATATGCAAATAGCCAGTCCGACCGGAAGATGCATTGAAACACATATTTCAAACTACCCCTATTATATCTATTATCGGCAGCAAAGTATGTTTCCTTTGAAATAACGTAGCATCTGCATGTCTTCTTCCATCTGCAATGACACCAATTAAGTTTGCTTCATCTTGCCTCATGTTTCAGTCCTCAGGTTATTCATCCCCAGTTCCCACATTACAGGGGACCCTGTTTTTTTTCTTTAGAGCACCATGTTCTTCCATTGATACCAGAGATGGGAAACCTTGCAGCCCTTGGGCTGATTTCATTCAGCTTGAGGCTTAATCATCAAAAATCTTATGCAAGCTCAAATTACTGATAAGAGTGAGCTGTCCTTTGTCTGCTGAGGAGGAAAAAGTGGGTGCCAGAGAGGCTCCCTCCCCAATACGCTTCTATCACGTTATTCAAGGGAATGTGGCTCTTGATGGGCTGCAAATCTTTGACTTAAACCAATCCTCCATTTCAGCTGCAGAGCTTTTTAGTTATTCCATGACCAGGCTTTCCACACGATTAACTAAAACGTTCATGACTATTCTGTGACATTTGCTACATAATAATATTGTTGACAGTCAAGTGATCTTTTTATTTGCGTTTATGATTATTAAACTGAACTAAAGCTTTTTTTTTCCAGATGAGGAACTATAACCCAGAGCATATGGTTTCCTCCAATGTATCTTGTGGAGACAAAGAGAACCCATTAGCATATCTCCCATTTTGCTGCTGGAAAATAAAGTTCTTAATCAGTGATTCAATGAGGGGTTGAAGGTGCCGAATAAAAACAAGGAAATAGACGTGTGCGAGCTATAGATTTTTCTGAAAGATGGCTGGCCTATATGTTCCATTATTTTGAATAATGTGTGGGCTTTATGAAAATCATATTCTTTTTTTTAACATCAGGTTCTTGCCAATCCAGAAGATCAAGTATGAAAATTCTAAATCATATATACATAAAAGATAAGATTTATAAGTTCTGAAAGACATACTGTATTTTTCAGAGTATAAGACGCACCTTTTTCCCTCAAAAAAGAGCCTGAGAATCTGGGTGCGTCTTATACTCTGAAAAATACAGTATGTCTTTCAGAACTTATAAATCTTATCTTTTATGTATATATGATTTAGAATTTTCATACTTGATCTTCTGGATTGGCAAGAACCTGATGTTAAAAAAAAGAATATGATTTTCATAAAGCCCACACATTATTCAAAATAATGGAACATATAGGCCAGCCATCTTTCAGAAAAATC